AAGTGTGTGTTTGTGAACTCAGCGGTTTGGTGCACGCTTGGCTGGCAGGCTGTGTGTAAAGTAATTAACATGATAGCCTCCCTCTCAGCCTGATAGCCCGTTCCCTGCAGCGAGGTCGTTGGGCAGACACCAGCACACACCTGTCTCTCGATGCAAACAGCCATACACGTTTAACCCACATCCTCGGCTATGGCAACAAACACAAGCAGCATAGGGGGCATGCTCTTATATACAACATGTAGCTGTCACACATTCAAATGTATATGACAAATTATGCACAAATGAGGTGAAAGGAAAGGCATCAAAAACAATCTTATATGTCAGTGTTTAACAAAGACTACGGTATGGCCTAGGGGTTTTAGATAAGACTGAAAAAATAATAATTAGCATACAAGCAGTGGTACGACATGATTAACACAAACATTTATGAGAAGTAAACTGAAAAACAACCAAGCCTGTAAGAAAATGAAAAATTATGACAAAATTACACAAAAAACACAAGTAATATTGAATTTTCTAATCAAAACACACTAAAGTAAAGACTAAAAAGGTACACATTTAGTACAAGATTAAATGACAACAATTAAATGAAGTATAGTATAATCATCAAATTGAAGACCTTAAACATTTCAATAAGTAGTAATGTGTCTGAAAGGCTATCAGAAGATTTTGTATTACACTGTGCAGTCAAAACAGCCTGTCTTTGTTCAGAATCCAGGTGAAATAGAGACATGATTGAAAGTGACAGCAGACCTGAGGTTTCACACCACAGAGGAAACCATATGGTGATACAATATGGCACATAATCAACACGGAGACAGCCTGAGTTGTGATAGTTTCATTTTATCAAATCATTCCACTTAAAATGAGGTAATTCTTCAACCTGATAAGTAACAAAGTGAGGTAATGAGAGCACTGGTGGCTGACACATGCTGACAAAATCCTTTCATTATTCTCCAATACAAGCACTGGTTTTATCCGCAGCCTCACCAAGACCTTTCCTGTGGTCGTCTAATCCTGAGACAGTGGACCCAAACCCCCCCCCTTCGCCGCACACAGAGCCTCATTTGCTGGAGGATTAGAGCGAGGGCACAGGGGTCAGAGAGAAGCCACCCAGCAGCCCCTAAAAAAGCACCAATGCACATCCTATATACACACACACACACACACACCCACACACCCACACACACCACACACACACACACACACACACACACACACACACACATATACACATTAGCATTGTGTGGACCAGACACTGCTCTAAAGTCCCAGCATAACAGCATTATGCATTCACATACTGTAGGTGCGAAGGCGGTGCGGCAGACACGCACCAAAACACAGACACACATTTGCATGAACATGTGTGGAACAAAACAAACTGACCTTAACTCCAAATCAAAGAAATACTAATACAATTGTGTGACTTTACAGAGCAGCAGGGTCAAAAAACTTCATAGGAGGAGAAAGTTAGCTGCTAAAGGTGCTCTGAGAGGAGACAGGTTACCAGAGCGAGGAAAAGACAAAAGTGATTGTGGGAGAAGAAGAAACATGGTAGTGAAAAGTTCTAAAGGGCCTGGTGAGGGTTTAAATGCTCTCCTCCCTCGATTACTCCCTCTCCCCTCACACTTTCTCTCATGCCTTTCATGAATTAAAAGCACGACCGGTCTGTGGGGAGAAGCATAGTTAATTCTGATCAGATCTCCTCCTCCCCCCTCTCCACCGCGCCCCTCCTGCCTCCCTTCTTCCCTCGGCGACGGTTGCCGTGCAGTCTGACAGACGGAGATGGGATCTGACAGTAAACAGGCGTGTGGATGCCCGGTACGTGATTGACACGTAGGCAGGTCGGTGGGGGCCCGCCCCCCTCCTAATCCTGCCCTGTCAGCTCTAATTGGGGAGGTGGGGCTCTGTGTCACCAAGGTGACTGATTGACAGGACCCCAGCTTTGCATAGATATGAGGAAAAGGTGGTGAAGTTCACGCATGGCATAACACTGTTAACTCTACTATACTGCTAATAGAGATATGAGATGGGGGGGTGATGGGCCCAGAGCAGGTGAGCTCTCATGAACATGACTGAGCACACAAATAAACCCACAACAATAACCATGAACAAAATAGACACGCATACACCATGTCTGAACGCCGACCGCATCTCCAAACACAGTGCTCTGATGAGGAGCAGAGGTGTTCAGTGGCACCAGAGCATTGATACTGGAGGCACCATGAGCACCTCACTCTTTTGGGGCCAATGAACCAATGGAAGAAAGTCAGACAAAGTGCAATGCGATTCTGACCTGTCAAACAGCTCTGTGTGAGCTAATTAAACCACAGCCTATGGAGAGATTTACATATACATGTGTCCACCTGGATACATGTGATTCTCCTTAAAGAGCTCCCTGTTCAGAAGGTCAGGTCTCCACAGAGCTCAAGAACGGGCGGACATCACCGGACAAAAGACTAAACAGCACGCACCACATCTGCACTGGCAGACCCAGAATATTCATAACTTCAAATTAATCTTCCACTTTAAAGGTATAGCGTTGTTGGTAAAGCGTAATTATGTGTGTTGAATTAACTCTGTAGCTTGAGGCATTTACACAAAGTATCATTAAAATGCAAAATAAGTGCATTTTACTCTCCATAGAAAAGTTTGTATTATGAATTTCTTTTTGCAGATAAATAAAATCAAGGCTACAACTCCAAATGTATAGTATAGCAAGGGATTAACCTATAGAATAAGTTGATAGATTATTACATTTTTTTCAGTATGGCCAATGCCAAACAAGAAAATGTGGACATTGTAGATACACATATTAAAAATATTGACAAATAATGATAAAATGTTCCACAGTATGGCATTAAAACATATCTTTCTTGCATGTATTCAATAACAAGAGCTTTTATTGAAAAAACATGCACTTTTACTGTGAGGGGGTTACCTCTCCATAGAGCTGACCCATAACTTGGCCTGCTGGCATCAGCTGCTTGTCTCCATGTAGATGATATAAGTTTGATGCCATACTATGGAACACTCCAAGAAAAGCAGTCGCATCTTCACAGGAACAAAAAAATTACATTTAGTGCTCTTTTAACTATTGCCTGTTAAGAAAATCACAATCTAATATCTAGTGTCTCATTACATATATATCAGTTATAATCCTTTTTCAAACACCTACTGCCAATAATGACATAGCTCCCGAAATGTCATATCAGTCTGGCTTTATAAGTGCAGTATGGGTAATGTTTGGGTATCTGTTAAATGCTACAGACTCTAAATACTGTTACTGTATATTCAAGTCTGAATCTATTTTAATAATGGTGTGTGCGCGTACCAACTACATTTCTGTGTGTGTGCTTTTGATTGACAGCTGCCACTGACCTGTGCCAGTCAGAGTGCCATGCTGCGGGGCGATGGGGTCGATCGCTACGGAGACGACCTTCGCCCTCATCTGCATCCTGCCTTCATTAGCGGAGCCAGGCAAGGAGAATAACAACCCAATAAATTAATAAAGAGAAAGAGAGAGAGAAAGGGGAAGGGAGCAGGCGAGTGAGGGGGGTGCGGCTGAAGCAAGGGTAAATCAGAAAGGGGAAGGAAGTAGGGAGGAGGAAACCGACCAGAGGGAAAGCCAAAAAAGATTCCCGCACAGGAGAATAGAAGTGTGGAGATGGGAGTCAGTGGCTCTGGGAGAAAAACATAATGGTAAAAGATGGACAGAAGGTTTAGTTCAAGTTGAAATTCTTGCAAACACACACACCAAGTCCACCAAAACAGTTTTGACAAATGCATCTCAGGGGCTGTCATTGTGGCTCAGAGCCCTGCCCAAACAGAATTGATACATTACCATCTGCACGGGTTCTTAAATGCCAGGATGTACAGGGACGCTCTAACCAGCCCGCGGAGCCACATATCGATGGGGCCAAATGTTCCAGATTTCCTTCTCTCTATATTCATGAACTTGGAGCAAGGCTTGGCGTCCCAACCGCACAGCAAGTCAGTTAATAAAGAATGAGGTTTAATTGTGCTGGCTACATACTGTGTACAAAGACTAGAGGCTGGGGAGGATACCTATGTGATATGAGCACTTCCACTGAAAAACACACGCAGTCCAAGGGAAGCTGTGTAAATAAATAATGAACAAGGATGTTACGTGCAGATAGACTGTTGGTTTGGAGCTGTCCCCGGAGGAGACTAGAAATGATGCTTTCTCATGTTCTGCAGACTTGTACTACATACCTCCCTATATGACTGCATCTTCATCAGCAACAGAACATATGATTCCTTGTGTATTCAGACAGACTGACTGACTGACTTACTAACTAAAAGAAAGTATGTATCAGAATTGAAGAATTTCGAATCTTGATTGTGACTGTTCCCAGTTAAGTTATAAAATACAATGTACTGTATAAAATGTATAATTTACTTACTCAAGAAGTATTTTTGAAATATAAAGTAGGGATGTACTATGTTAAATATTATGTGGAGACACTTTGTCAAAATCAGAATATGCAAAAATACAGTCTTCAAAAAATTATTAGTACATGTAATAAATGTGTGAAGGGTTTTTTTTATTTGGAGAAATGTCCACTTTTTAAAAAAGTGTTCTAATGTAAAATATCAAAACTATGTTATAATCTTTCTCTATCATCTTCAGCATTAAAATATGTACTTACACTTCAAATTTGTTTTTCTCCGTAGCCACGACCCTGATATATCTGAATGTACACACTCAAAGAGTGAATATGTCTTTTGTGTATGCATGCTGAGAGATGTGAGGCGCTCACAGTTGAAGCGTGCCAACAGCAGTCAGTGAACTGCATTTGGAAAGCTAATAGCACCATGATATGGGCCAGGCCTGTGTGCGCGAGGCGTCTGCCTGAATGAGCTGCTCCCTGCTCAGGGTCGGGGAGCGTGAGCGCTCAAGATTGAGGCCTGCTGCGCTGAGGAGGAAATTCTCAGGGCGATCGATGCCGAGGATTAGGGCCGGCTTTGGGGGCTCAGAGGCCTGGATCTGAGCAGTATTCTCAGCGGGGCCCTTGGGAGAAGCACTGAGCAGAGCTGAAGGGGTAGAGGAGAGAGGGGAGACGGGGCTAACCTGAAACTGTCAGGAGGCTTCACATAGGGTTGGCCAGCCTGGGAATAGGAGGGCACTCTGGTCCCAGCTGACACTGTGAATGACGCTGGAGTCTGCCACCCACTCGGACAGAGTCACACTGACCACTGGAGCTGAGGAGCACACACAGCTATAAGGGCTCTGCTGCACATTAACTAACAGGAGTAAAGTTGACAAAAGCATGCTGCACTTACTTTTGATTTCCTCTTGTTCAAACGGGTAGTTGTCTTCAGAGTTGATGAGCCACACAACAAAAGGCTGACTGCGTTTGTGTGTGTGTTTCTGATGCTCATGATTGGTCAGCTCGCTGCTCTCCCTCGGGTGCACGCGGCTGGATCCATGATTCATTTTGCAATGAGGGGAAGAGGGGAGAAAAACAGGAGCGTGCATGTGAGAGAAGAAACAGCCAAGACCACTGGGAAATTATACGGTGGAGCAGCGTGGTGGATCTGGAATTAAACGGCATAATTAATCAAGCAAAAAAACAAGCACGTTGCTCATACATTTATTATTTGCATTTTTTCCACTTCAGGAGATGTAATCAGCAGATATATGTCGGGGGCCTGAGCGTTTCACCGCGACCACAAGGCCAAGCTCCGAGTACCAGCACTGACCCTACGAGTGTGTAGTGTAATATGAGCTGTTTTTTCTACTATCATCTATGGCTCCTGCTTTCATTGTAATCCCCACAACACAAAGACAACAATTGGTTTGTTGCCTTCCGCTGTCCGATAAATTAGGGTGCAGGCAAAATTAGGTTCACAATTCTTTCTGCTCTCTCCGGAGTTGTTTAACATGGTAGGGTCAGAAAAAAACAAAAGTGACTGTCCATATGAAGTCTATTCACATCCCGCCATTACATTTAAGGCCATTTACTTAAAGGTCACATAAGGTTATCATATGCTCATTAGTAGTTCATTGCTATTAGACTGTCACTGTGCATAAGTGTGACAACTGTTTCCGATCAGTAGCTGTTTTCCTCTTTTGGCAGAGCTGCGTGTGGTTTGGGAACAGATGATTCGGCTTATTTAAAGCTCTATTAGGCGTCACATGGGGCTTACACTTCTCATCTATCACTGTTCTCTTATGGAGATAGGCCTCATTTAAAGATGAACAAGCCTTCTGATTGTCATGTAAGCTAAATAGACACATCATTCAGATCTTAAGGAACTTTAAAAATTAGTTTTGTGGTTACGTCTTTGTGCCAATGTATTGACAAACACCAAGCACTTTTCATTGTTGTTAAGATTAAACATAACACGTAGCCTGAATAATTTGACTAATCTAACTAAACCCAGAATGATATGGGCTACTATAACTATGCTTAAAGTAGCCCTACTGGACAATATAGGCTACCAGTTAATTATTGGTAGGCTATGTTGGGAATATGTAGGTGAATGCTTTTGGATGAATTTGATCGTAAAGTTGTGTAATAATAGATAACTAAAAGAAGTATGAACACTAGTAGCAACATTAGACATAAAACAGTGTAGATTAAAACATATGTGTTTTTTTTTTTCCATTTTTGTCATAATTTCTATGAGCTTATTGAACATTTATGCATGCTTCATACTATCCTTATGGGATTGTAGACCACATATTAGATTCTCTTATCTTTATCCTGTATGTCTGCCTCTGATTTGTGCTGCTGTGTAGAAGCGGAACTGAGTTTGTCTTATCCTAGAGGTAGATTCAACAGGCTTACAGAAAAGGGCCTACACATGCTAATGTTGTGATGATGGTAGAATGACTTGTCCTGTGATGCTGGCTATAAATTCCAATGTCAGTATGTTTTTTCACTCCTTCACTGTGGAAGTAAAGGCTTTCTACACCCAGCCATATATTAATGGTAGGATAACTGTAATTTCATTAAAATTATTGCTTTAGGTTCGACGGGTTATAATAGGATGATGATAAGATATTTTCTAATATATGCACTCCTTAAGATAAAATGGCGTTGGAAAGAGCAGAAAGTGGTAATTATAGGATTTGAAGATGATTTTTAACTCGAGTCGCTTGGACGTGCCTAAGTCCACTATGGCCATTATGCGTAAATACATCCGGCGAGCAGTTTGAAACGTATCACTTTTCATGTGGTCAATATGGCTTGTTCCTGGAGCGCCGTCATCAATCGCGGTATCAATATGGAAATAGCACGGTGACCCAGACATTAATCAATGGGCTCCTCGGGGAGGTAGGGGAGGCCAGGGCCACCTCAAAGCATCAATGAGACAGATCGGCCCGCAGTCAGGCTCGGACAGTGCGTATTGATAAGAGCATTTCCACCTGTAGCGGCGCGCGCGCACACTCACGCGCTCGCTGGCCACATCTGAATTCAATCCCCGCCGCCGCAGCTGCGAGCTCCAAGCCCAGAAAGACACGGTTGAGCGGAGATACGTGCCTCGACTCATCATAAGACCACTCTCTTATTCTCCATATATGTCCCCTTTCCTCCCCTCTCCCGCCGTCTACCTCACAACTTTGAGGCCTAAACAAGCAGCTCACGTACGCTGCTACAAGGACTTCAAATTAACTTCTTTGTCTTTATTCTGAGACTTACTTTACTTCACACTCTCTGGAGTTTAGTCAAACCTATTTCTTTCTCCAACTTCAAACCGAGACGGGCAGAAGCAGGGTTTCACATCAATGCGGAAGTCTTCACATGCTGCTGTCTCACCGCGAACGGGATTAGCGCCAAATCTCAGCGCTCACATCATCCAAATCTTATCTGATCAATTAGATCAGTCCCGACAAGAGCGAGCCCAGACTGAGCAGAGTGAGGCAAGTAGGCCTCCTAGTGGACAGGCTGTGGACGCGCAGTCTGGGGGATTTATTTCAGGATAGGGCTACAAATAAACTACACAAATCTATTTTGGTATTTAATAATAACAATAATAGCAACAACAACAATAATAATAATGCATCAGTTTTATATAGTGCTTTTCTGGACACTCAAATATGTTATTCATTCACTGCACACTTGGTGGCAGTAAACTACTAGTGTAGCCAGAGCTGCCCTGGAGCAGACTCACTGACTATTTAGGCCTATTGCTTTATTTTTGGATATCAAGTGGGAGTTAAAAGGGGATGAAAATTATAATTCAGTGTCTAATTAGACAAACATAAGATCTTAATATGCACCTTCTGTGCCAAACTGCAGAGTAATAGCTTCTATGAGAATTTATCATAGACATGACTTGTGTCTGTGTGCTTCAATAGGCAAATACTTTGGTCATCAACAAACTCAGAACTGAAGTAGGTGTAGATACAGTTCAACACAGACAGGTCTTCATTGCTTGACTTAAAAGTCAAGAATCAAATACTTGATAGATGAGAGGCAAAGCCAAAGTCAAGGAAAAATTCTGTATCTGTCAGATACTTTTTCACCCTGCCATTCCTAATCCTCCCTTGTCAAACATATTTGGCCATGTCTATGTTTGGCTTCTGCACAAACCCCTTGTGCTCTTCCCCATGTGACACGTTTTAAAGGTTAGAGTTCAAGGGTCGCGTGTTCTGTGTGCACACGGGCTTGCCCTTTTCTCTCTCAATCATCCTCTCCTCTCTCTCTTTCTGCGCCAGATGCACCACAAAGGTCATGCCCATGGATTTCCTTTGGTTTGACTCAATGAAAAGGTCAGCTGAGGGCACCAGGAAATGGCACTGAGGCCTTGGTGCAGGACGCATGGGAGCAGGGTCCTTACATTACCAAAAATGGCACACACCAAACCACTCTCACCAAATCTGTCCAGGACAGACCCAAGAGTCAACATGACCTCATCTGGATAGCCTGTGGATATGGTCTATAGAGGAAAGCATACAATCAGACAAAAGGACTGTTATTACCATCTGAAAAAAACAAACAAAAAACTATTCACGCAAACAGGTGCACAGAAAGAGTGAAATTACAATCAGAAAGAGCCATCATGTGGTCAGGGTTAGACAGGAAGTCACACATACATTTATAATGCTCTTCACATCTTTTAGCAAAATAAAGTAGAAGATTCCATCGTTTTATCAGAGATATTAGTTCATTTTTTAAACATTTACCAAAAAGTAAATATTGTTTTGTATTAAATAAGTTAATGAGGTAAACATTTTAGAAAATTATGCCCACAGAAACTGAATCAGTAAATTGGCTGATGTTTGCCAGTTAACATAATCCCATAGATTCAACAGAAGAGTCAGAAAACATTATTTACAAGATTTGATTTATTAACTATAATACAGATCACATAAGGCCTTGCTGTATACACCATTCCCACTGAGACAAATTATCAAACTCAGCAATAAGAACACATTTTGTAAATGCTTTTTTTAAAACTTTACAGTACTTCATTTTTTTTTTTTTTCCTTTTCTTTTACCCCCGTCATTTCATCTTTTATCATCTCTTAAACAGAGTGCTGGAGCCCACAGGAAGATTCATGCACTATATTGGGCTGCCCTCAATTTTTCACAAACAAATTGATAAAATGCTTGATATTTTTGTATTTTTTAAAATAAAAACATAAAAAGAAAAAATTCTCTATCACCACTGACTAAAGGGCAACAGTGTTAGACCCCCCTAAGATTCCATTAAACATTTGAACGTTGATCTGCTTTAATTAATTTTAACTTAACAGACATCAGTCGTCATATTGCAAAAAAAATAAAATCAAAAATCAAAATGCAGCCATGTATCGCTGAACCAAGTCACATTGTATTTTTTAACTCTCCCTTTGCTATAGCTTTGACCCAAAGACAGTTCAACATCCATATTGATCAGAAACAACAATCATGGCCTCCTTGTATCCCCCAAATGATTTGCTGTGCATCCCCCTTAAATGTCTCATATCTTCCTGGACATAGTGTATTTAAACTGCAAGAGCTAAAAGTGGTAATGCTACAGGTTTATTAAGGGATTTGGCAGCTATCCGTCTTTAGCTGCAGCCCTATGCAGCCCTAGCATGCCTCACACATGTACATACACGTCAGATGATGGTGCAGTAGCCTTTTTGTAGAATGAGACCGTTAATGAGATAAGAATTTTTATCTGGGCAAAATGGGATATTAACCAGTTAGTGATTTAGAACATATATATCAATCTGCGTGCATACTGACGTACTATTGTACACTGTACAAATGGTACATACATAATGCAAATAATAAGAAAAGTTCAGCACAGAGGTGCCCTTCTCATGCCTAATCTCACTGGTTTCTATAGAAACAGCAGGCTGGGCTAAGGAATGGCCCATTCCGGTCATGCAGACACATGAATGAAAGGATGGATGAATGAATCAATGGTCTGTCTGTTCCTCCAACTGTCTCTTGGACAAGGAGCGCTTAGGCCTAAGGGGAAGTAGTGGCATGGCAGTAACAGATGAGCCTTAGTGGTTAAGTTCATCAAGAATAAATGTCCAAGATTAAATGTCCAATAACAAATAGGGTATCCTCAATCAGTTATCAGTTAATATTTAAGTGGTTATGAATTTGTTTAAAAAGACCAATTCATGGTTGCAGGCAAGTAGATGCACAAATGGAATATTAAATGTACTCAGAGCAATATTCTGCACGTAAAATTTCATAATTTGGGCCAGGTGAAATACAGAGGCCTGCCTGCAATACAGGGAAAAGCACAATGCTACACAGAAAACTCCAGGGGAATAACTACCAATTGTGCAACATTTGTGGATGTGAGCTGCAGAACCCAATTTCTCCTCTAGATGTCAGTGGTGTGCTCCCAAAAACAAGGTGTAAAGATGAACTGACAAAGTGAACAGTGGCTGTCATGTCATGGCAAAATTAATTTGTGGCTTCAACAAAGTGCTCAGGAAAGTGCTTTTGAACAAGGTCCTTACTATAAAAACTGCAGCAATCACTTACATTCAAACCAACATGGTATATGAGAAACAAACAACAAATATCCCCCAAACACAGGCAGAAAAAGTGGTGGTACATGCGCACATACACACAAGGACATCCAGTGATGCCAGAATATTTTCACATATACAACAAAAATATACAATGATGAATGACAAATTATTCAAAATCAACTGCAAAATTTGTGTTGTGTTGGTTTTACAATAACTTTAAAAATGAGAGAAAGCGCACACAGCAATACATGGAATGCCAAGTGTGCGAGAGTACCCATGATGCTTTGCTCCAACCTGCTGCCCTGACATATCCAGTCAGTTGACATTTCTTCCTGTGCTTGGCATACCGCCCCATCTGTCTGTCTTGTGTGCATGCGTGAGGGATCGCTAGATAGGAATGTGCAAGACGCCAAGGACAGAACATTCCAGCAACTGAGCAAATTTTCTTACTTGAATCCTCTGTAGTGCTGCAATGGACAGTAAAAAATGTCCAGTAATTGATTCTCTGCTCCTGCTCCTCACAAAATAGGTGTTCCGGCCACCAATGTCCCAAGCAAAGTTAAGAGTCTCAGGGATGGAGGTGAGTGGTTTTGGAGGTACACTGGCCAGCTAATTGTTTGTGAACGGTGAAAGAAAAAGCAACCTCCTTCTTACTAGCACCTCCTGGAGTCATTTTTGCAGTTTGTGGCAAAATCTCTTCATTTCTGACATAGATTCTCTATAAGGCAAGGAGGGCGAGTTTACATAAAGTGAGAGGATGGGTGATGTAGAGAGGAACAGAATGATCCTACCCAATTCAAAGTCTCATTCCGTCCATGTTGTGCGAGTGTCTCAAATATCTATTCTCCCTAAACATACTGCATCTTTCTCCATATCTCCCAACTTTCTCTTTTCATTTCCTTAAAAAAATTCAAATCCTTCCCATGTTTACTCTTTCCCTTGATCTGTTGGTTCACAGCGTGTGTTGTTCCGCAGGCGGGTGGTGGTGCGGGTGCAGTGCGGGTGGCAGGAGCGATGGGATTGGAGACTGAGGCGTGGGGGGCGGGGAGTTCTGGGGGGACTGGTGTTGTAGGTGATGATGATGATGGTGGTGATGATGATGGTGAATGGGCGGGCCATAGTGTGGGATGACTGGTGGGGTTGCGGGCATGACATAGGTTGGGGGGGAGGGAGTAGGAGAGGAAGAGTAAACTCCAGCCATGCAAGAGTAGGCAGAGGTCCCTCCACCAGAGCTGGAGGTGGGCGACCCGGGCATGTCGGCAAGAGGCTGATTGTAGAAGAAGTAGGAGCACTGTTGGATGAAGCTCTCGATGATTGTCTGGTAGGTGCGTGTGGCCGTCAGGGCGTCCATGGTGGTGAAGTCTGGTCGCATCAGTGTTGGCCAAAAGCAAATGGACAGGTTCTCACTGGTCATCAGATTCAGCTTACTGTGCTGGCTCACCCTGAGAAAAAACAAAAGTTTGAATAAGAATACTGTTATCAAACATTAAATATGCATTTAAAGTTATTACGATCAACAGATCCATTAAAGCAGATATGCAATTCCCTCTGGCAGATTTATAGTTTAAAGCAATCTCTGTCCATCCCAAAGCACTAAAATTAAGCACACAGTACTAAAGTTCACTAAACTAAACTGAAATCTAGAGTATCTTGATGACTTCTATTAACTATACTAGAATAGTAGCCTTTCAGTACAGTGAATGTGAACAATGCCATTTAATTAAGCTTTAAGTATTTCAGTTGAATGCATTAGTGGATTGTATATATTAATGGATCCACTTACTTAGCAAACACAATATATGA